GCTGTGGCTCAAGTGGTAGAGCACTAGCCTTGAGCTGAAGAGCTGAGGGACAGTGCCCAGGCCCAGAGTTCAGGCCCCATGACCGGACCCAAAAAAAAAAAAAAAGTGAATACAAAAGTAAACCATCAATACACATTGAAATACAAACAATAATCTGCATGAAAACAAGCACACAGTACAAGATGCTAAATTAATTAACACATGATGCAACAGTTATCTTCTATTCCTATTTCTTCAGTTATAAAATGGTCAAATATCAATTTACTACATAAAAATACTTCAAGGTTTCAAATAATGATCTGAAGGCTGAACGTGGTGGTGTAGACCTGTAATCACAGTTACATATCAGGTACAGATAGAGGACAGCAGCTTGAGACTAGCCTGGACAAAAAAGTTAGCAAGACTTTACCTCAACAAACAAGGTGGTGCCAAAACACACAGCTGTAAGGCCAATTTTGCAGAATGTAGAGATAGGAGGATCAAAGCCCCCTAAGGCCAGGCTTGGGCAAAATCATAAAAATCTATCTGAAAGGAAACTGAAAGCAAAAATGACTAGGGATATGGCTCAAGTAGCAAAATGATTACCTAGCAAAGGTAGGGCCGTGAGTCCAACCCAATACTATCAAAATAAAGAGAAAAGAAAAAAAAGCAACTTTTAGATGAGACTCTTATCTATATTAAATTTCTTTATTTTTATGTCTGTACTGGAGCTTGAACGCTGGGCCTCAAGTCTCTCACTTGGCTTCTCCTTGTAGGCTGGTGCTCTACCTCTTGAGCGCAGCTCCACTTCCGGCATTTTGCTAGTTAATTGGAGAAAAGACTCTGGCCCCACTAACTTTATACCGAGATCCTCAGATTTTAGCCTCCTGCACAGATAGAGTACAAGGATACACCACCAGCACCCAGCTTCTTATCTACATTTAAATACTACAAATTAATAATTAAATATTAATCACTTCATAATTAACCTATCTTTGCACAGTGTATCTACACATCTGTATGGCACATATATGTGGTTTTGATTAGCCTATTACCTGATTTCCTGTTTCCCATAGCCCCTGTTACAGTTCTCCTTTGGGTAACTAAGTACAGGGATAAGGTAAAACTAAAATCAAGTATAAGGATGGATCAAACACTAAAAAAGTAATCCTATCCAAAGCACATGCCTGCAAATTGATGAGTTAAACTTCTGTACTATACAAATGCAGCCTACTTCAATTAATGGGATCCTTACAACTTACTTTCTTAGCTATGTTTGGTTTGTTACTTTGTTTTTGCTATTTGAGACAGCATCTCACCATGTAGTGTAGGGCTACCTGGAACTCTTGAATATTTCCTGCTTCAGCCTCTCAAGTGCTAGGAATACAGGTATACACCACCACACCCACGTATTCAACACATTTAAAGTGCTTTAAAATGCTTAAAAGTCTTCCTATTACATACAAGACCAAAAAGTGAATACAGGTTAAGTACCATGACCCCACTATGAATGACAACTGAACTTGACAAATTCCATGAATAACAGGCACAAGAAAACTGTGCAGATTCCTCCCTCCATTCCAAGTAAACTGACCCAAATGAAGGGCCAGTAGTAGCTTTCCTCCACTTAAACAATACAAAGTAGAAAGGCATGTAACAAACTTTTAAAAATGCACATCTGAATTCCAAACACTAAGGGTATACAAATTTAGACAGCTCAGATATTTCTGTAAACCAATTGATTTGAATAATCAACATGTTAAAGACCAAATTTTCCAAGTAACAGAACACTTACATTTGATGGATTTCTTGAACAAAGGAAATAAAAAAAGTGACAACGCAGACAGGCAAACATAATTCATTGGTGTACTATGTAATTTTAAGCTTCCACCCCCAAACAGCTATTTGAAATTCATTTTGTATCACAAGCACTTCTTCTGAATATTATTTAGGGTAAAATAGCCAACTTGATAAAGTGCCAGCAAATTGCATCAAAAATGTAGAATGTTAACTAGATAAAAGTGTCAAAAAGAAATATTATTACCCGATCTACTTCATAAAGTAAAACTTCTGCTTGGGTTCAAGAGTTCAGAACAACCATATTTGTTTTCAAACAACATGTTTTAAATAGTAGAAACTAAAGTTATGAAACTACCTGGTCAGGATTCTTGTAGCTCAGAAGAAGATTTGAGGCCTTAATATCTCCATGTACATACTCATGCTCGTGAATATATTCCAGAATTTCCAGCTATGAAAACACACACAATAAAATTAATGCAGTACCCAATAGCAGCCAGCAGAGGACCAAGCTTCAAGAGAAACTTGCCTTCACTGTATTAAAAACAATTGTTTTCAAAACAAGAATATAGCTCACATACAATTCTTAAGCTTAGCTGCAACACAGTTTTCCGAGAAAATCTTCTAGCATTGGCTTCATATATTTTCTGAAGGTCACTCCCAAAGCGATCCATTATCATAAACCTGTAACTGAAGACCAACAAAAAAAAAAAAAAAAGGAAGGGGCAATGAAGAAAATATAACTGAGGAGAATATCCCAACATTTCACAGACATTATTCTCCTTTCAAAATGATTTTTTTCAAGTCAATGTTTAATAAGACAGTATTCTTTAAAATCAAAACAGGAGAAAATACGTACAAGCATTGAACATTTCTACTAATTAGAAATCAGGAATTCCTATTTCCTGCCCGGTCTTTTACTCAGAGGGCTTCTTCCAAGTCTGTTATGCTGAGGAGGTAACATTCTACTTACAATAACACTCACGCAGACTGTCTAACACATTCACCTACAATAAAACTAATATTATCTGAATGAGAATGAGAACCCTGCACTGATCCCTCTCCTGAGTCTAGTCTGTTTCTAGACAGCCCCCTCCTTCCTGGGGCTGCTCCTCTACTTCCTGGGTACATTTCAGCAGCCCCAACTTTCTGTTATGACCAAGTTTGTCAGAGAAGCTATAACAATCAAATTCAATAAAAATCCTTTAAATGATGAGAAAGAATAGTTAGAACATTAAACACTCAATGGCCAAGGTTTTTGGTTTTACCACCAAACAGCTGTCACATCGACCAAGTAACATTACTTCACTTTCTTGGCTGCAATGGTGAGAAAAGTAAAATGAAGTAGGGACTCATCTCATTAATGGCTTTTCTAACCCTCAAATTTCAAGACTTGGTATAGACTAAAAAGCCTTACTGGCTTGCAGTAGCACTATTTAACTTTTCCTCTGAAGATCACTCGTGTCTTCAACCGTTTTCCAAATTCCAACTTGTCTGGTTAATCCTTCCAAGCTATCAATAAAAACCAAGACCACACTCAAAATGTGTCAGAATGTCTTCCAACAGGGATGGCATAACGAGACATGCTAAGAGGCAGCTTTGGCCAAACACTTGGTATGAGCACAACACTGTTCAAAGCACATGAACCTCACTGCATGGATACTAGGGGGCACTCCTGTCACCTTTAGTTCAAAACAAGAAAACTGACAAGTCTGTCTTCTAGGAAGTGGTAGGCCCACACTTCTAACCACACCAAGTTTCTAAGTCAGGAGAACACAAAATCCCACTTACTAAGAGGTTTATGACAACAATACAGTATGCTTATTTTAACAAGGAAGGAAGAACCAACTCATATTAAAAAAAAAAAAAACATGGTAATACAAAATTCAGGATTCTTTACATTTTTGAATTGGAAGAAAAGAGATCTTGTCTGTACATTTTAAATAAATAATGTGGACAATGTAAAGTGTTTTGTCCAAAGTCAAACAGTGGTGTGAAAAAAGTGTCTTTTCTGTCAAAGTAGTCTGCTTCCTTTCTGTTTAATATTGAAAGAATTTTCTAAAGGGTTCCTGCCTGGGCAGGTGGCTTGACCTTTGTTAATTACGTTGTAGTTATATAGATCCTTTTCCTGAGCACTTTAATTACTACATCCTGTTAGATGCTCCTTGAATTTTACTTGCATTGTTAAGCCACACCCCTTTGCAGATTGTGAACCTGAGCTCAGCCAATCTGAGCAGAGGGTGGGGCCTGCTCTGTTAGGGATAAAAAAGGAGCAGCCTGCCTGCTGTGTGTGCTTGCTTGCCCGTTTTTTTAGCTGATGGTGCACTCTCTCTACACAGGTAAACTTTGCCTTGCCAAGTTGCCTTCCGAGTTGGTGTCCTTACTCCTATGTGACACCCCAACATCCCAAGCTATTTCTAACAGTGGCAGAAAAAAATCACTCATGTAATATTTCCTCTTACCAGGACCTCTAAAGTAAAAAAGGAGCAGTAATTTTATCCTGGTTTTCCTTTATAGCAGGATTTGAAAGGTTCAGAGATGAGACCATAACAAATATTTTTACAAAAAAGATTTTACAAATAAGTGATGTGTGTAATTATAATAACACATGTGTTATTACTCCCTCTGTGATAGTCTAAAAGAGGGCTCGGGCTCAAACACTATTGCTCACTTCAGCATAAGCTCTGCTAACAAACTATATTAAACAGGTCTTTGTTTTTATGCACATGGCAACTCACTCCTCTAAACAATCTCTTCATCTCACCATGGCTAAATAACAAATATCAGCTAAAGCTTCTGCAAATTACAGAGAAACTGTCACCACACTCTTCTGGAAAGTCAGCTCCATCACATCACCAAGTACTGTGATATAAATGTTACCTCTGAGTAACTACACTAACATAAAACCTTTGATGCATACTTTTCTAGGGAGTTGGATAAAACAATTCAAGTAACAGGAAAACAAAAACCAGATTAACTTATTTCATAATGGTAACAGCTAACAGGATTTCTGGTGAGGAAGGGTGATTGGAGAACAATCTTACTTTCTATTTCTTCCCACTTCAAAGACGTTTACTCATTATTTTAAAAGAGCCTCAACCAGAAAAGGAAATCAGCACATCATATGTAACTCTAATGTGTCACCTACTCCTTTGAAGGAGACAACTATGCAAACTCAATCTGCAGAAACAGCAGGTGTGAGATCACCACAGGTAAACTGTGATTAAGATTAAGGATGGAGTCCATGAAGCTCTAGTCAGCACTCTGGCCCCTCTGAGGTTCTCTGGGACAGTGCCCTCATGGGACCGCCTACCATCAGCCTGGACTGTCTCTCTCAGGCTCTGGTCACCTCACAGCAAACTTATTCCTGCAAAACTCTAAGTGACAATGTGGTACACATGGTACAAGCAGCCCCACACTCTGTGAGAGATGGTTGCATCTCAAATAAGATACTAGCTACCAGCTACCAACACTTGCCCTACCTCTCAAGTCTTTCCTAATAGAACACCAATTTAGTTTCAGGCATTCCATCCTCTCCCACACAACTCATGTTTTACCAGAACAATCACTGTGGCCACTTGGCCTTTGCAGTAACTGACTTAAGAATCAGTACTGACAAAATTTGGACTGAAAAAAAAATTAAGGGTTAGCCTGCCACAGGACTGGGAAAGTATTCCAAATCTGCCTCTGGGAACTTTGCATGAAGTCTAGAAATAGGACAGCTACCCTGAGACTATAGAAGGAAGAATATACAATAGAGAAGAAAGCCAAGATGAAAGCAAACAAGCAGGTCAGGCCAGGTATGATGGCATACACCTCCAGAACTCAAGACTGAAGATTGTCGACAGGTATGATGGCATACCTGCCTGACTGCCCAAGGCCAGCCTGAGCTGCACAGAGTAACCCTTCCTGTGTCTTGCCAGTACAAGACAAGGAACCAGGGCCCTTGGTGACTGCTTAAGAGAGCTACGGCAGTCTTCCTTTACTTGGAACTGAGACCATTTTAACCAATACACCCCTATTTTCAAACTAAATCTATTCCTGAGGTCTCAGTACCAGCCCAGCCATGAAGCTCCAATCATCCATTCAAATATTTAAATTCTGCCAATTGTGCATTGAAATAATAAAGAGGTTTTCTCCAACTTAGCTATGTGAACAACATTCTTACTTTCTCAAGGCCTAAGACATTTGAGTCAAAAAATTTACCTAAGTTTGCACATAGTTGTTCTCTAAATGTTTCAAACATGTTTATATTTTCTCCCTAGCTAGGTTAGTTTTGATAAAGAACATGATTTTGATTTTTTTTCCATAGCCAGATTATGTATCCAACATGAAATACCAAGTAGAATCCTAAGAGTTCTCCCTTGTGTAAAGGACATGAAGAGGCGTTTCACGAACATACATACACACACCAAAAAAAGCCAGGCCCCTTAGCTTAGGCTTTCTGTCTGTCAGTGGGTTACACTCAGAAGGCCTCCAGAGCAGTGATCTGCTGCTATAGGAAGAAGGCTATCCTAATAGAGCAGTGATCTGCTGCTATAGGAAGAAGGCCAAGATAGTATCTTACTCATCTATTTCCAACCACATTTGGTCCACACAGCCCAGGTAAAAGTCTATGGACAGGTGGATGCTCAATAAGTAACGCTGACTAAAGATAGGAAATGTCCAAAAAGGAATGGGAAAAAATCCCATGCAGTTTTTACCTTTTTCCATTTTTATCATGTAGACCAGATCCCCAATACTTAGGAACACCAAGGTACTTCAGTTTATGGGTGTGAATCCATTTCTGAACTGCAAGTTAAAATGGATACTGGATTTCAATTGCTATATGTAAATGATCATTTTAAAATAAAACATTAAGAGCAGAATACAGTTATAAACATAAGACTTCACCTTTATTAACAAACAGAGTATGGTAAAACATGAAGTATTTTATAAACAAAGCATTTTATTAATGCTTGTTACCCTGTCTTTAACGTTCTTTAAAATAAAAAAAGAAAAAAGATTGCAATAACTATTAGTATACATCTAGGATAATCTTACCAGACAAGCAGACAAGGTCAAATGCTATGTACATAAAACCATATAAGATGATGCTAAGCAACCCCAAGATAGGGACACAGAGGTTTTACCTTTGTTGCTGTTGTTTTTAATGTATTTATAATGTACTATGTGATTTTCTGTTTCTTTTGTATGGGGTTTCCCCATGGTATAACCTCTGTTGTCACTGTATTTGATTCCAGTGTCCTGCATCTTGTATATACATTTCTCTAATTTGGGGAGGGGAAGGGAAATAACAAAATGTTGAAACAAGAACACAGATTGACCCACTGTAACAATGAGATGTACAAGACACTATGCTGAAAACAAACTTTAGACTGGGGGGAGGGAGGAAGAAGGAAGGGAGGGACAGTAGGGAAAACACAAAGGAGGGGGTACCAATTCTCAATAGGAAGTGTACTCATTACCTTACTCATGTAACTGTAACTCCTCTGTACAGTATCTTTACAATAAAAAATACATATAAAAATAAATAAAAATATGCAAGCAGCATTTGTTGTTGTTTCGTATGTATGTGTATGTGCACATGCACACCAGTGCTGGCACTTGCGGCTCATGTGCTGTTCCTTAGCTTTTTCATTCAAGGCTGGAGTTTTACCACTTCAGCCACAGCTCCACTAAGATTCGTGACTTTCCTACCTGCCTGGCTTCATACCAAGATCCTCGGGTCTCAGATAGGATTACAAGGCATGAGCTATCAGCACCCGGTTCAAAAGCATTTTTTTAAGTTTTTATTTGGTTTTGTTTTGCCAGGCCTGGGGCTTGAACTCAGGGACTGGGCACTGTCCCTGAGCTTCTTTTGCTCAAGACTAGCACCCCACTTGAGCCACAGCTACATCTCCAGCTTTTTCTGTTTATATGGTACTGAGGAAACGAACCCAGGGCTTCATGTGTGCTAGGATAGCACTCTACCACTACGCCACATTCCCAGACCTCAAATATTATTTAAAAAAAAAAAAAGAGCTGGTTATCTCCAATTAGCCATTCAAAAACTGGAAGTAGGGTTGTTGTGACTGAAAGTGTTAGAGTGCTAGCCTTGAGCAAAAGTGCTCACAGACAGTGCCCAGGCCCTTAGTTCAAGCCCCACAACACACACACACACACACACACACACACACACACACAGAGCCAGGCAAACACACACACACACACACACACACACACAGAGCCAGGCAAACACACACACACACACACACACACACACACACACACAGAGCCAGGAACTCAGACCTATTAAGCCTAGCTACTCAGAAAGTTGAGATCAGAGGCTCAAAGTTAGAAGCCAGACAAATCAAATCTAAGAGAACTCTCTCCTCCGATTAATCACCAAAAAGCTGGAAATTGAACTGTGAC